CTTCCGGGTCATCTTTTCCATCCAAGGTTGGTATTTCAACCTTGAAGTCAGAGGAAGACTTCTCTTGGTTGTTTCTTCTCATGGTGGGAGAAGGAACTTCTGATTGGGCGTCATCTTCTTGCTCATCTTCGCTTTCCTCTGGAGTTTAGACCATGCTCATTTTCAACTTGGTAAGTTGAGCCACCTGTTTGGCCAAATACTCAACTTGAGCTTTGAGTTCGGCATTGGATGCAACTAAATCTTCCTTGGTGATGTTTTGGGAGGTGCGAGACATGTTTTGAACTAGAAAGTGAAAGAATGAAGGTAGGGCAGTAGCTAGGATGAAGGAAATGGGAGGGGAGATTGTTTTGGCCAAAATGAGGATGAAGGAATGGAGAAAGAGTGGAAGTGTGTTCTTGGTCCTTTGGGATGTAGGAACAAGAAGCTCTAATACCAAATGTTAGACCCGAGGCTCGGGGGTGTCGGTATTTAGTTTGAAAAGCAAGGAGCAAAGCTCTTCGATTTGCAGGAAGGGTGGATAATCGATTGTCCAAGTAAGATAATCAATTGTCACGTGATTCAGTTTCTCGGGAGGAGATTCGGAAGTCTTGGGAGAGGTAAATAATCGATTTACAAGAAGTGACAATCGACTATTGAAGGCCACAGATTTTCTAGGAAAGAGTGATAGTCGATTATCTTAAAAGGGTAATCGATTATTGCTACCTGCGGGTGTTTCAAATTGAACTGATAATTGATTGTGGAGAATGATAATTGATTATTTGGCAGTGATTCTGGGCAGGAATAAGGGTGTTTTGTGGGGAAATTAATGGAAATATATGGAGATGATAAAGGAGTTCTTTTGGGTCTTTTTAATGGAAGAAAAGAGTAAGGTTAAGAGGAGAAATGGGGAGATATGGAATGGAAGAAAATGAGGAATGGATAAACCAAGTTGGTGTTTAAGAGATATTACACACTCTTATCCTCACTTGGGGTTTGAATCTAGAATTTAATTAAGATATGACACACTTAATCAAATATCTAGAACCTAAAACTCACACTTAATATAACCACTCTTAAGATATAGAATTAGGGATTTGGCTAAAATAGCATCACACTATTTTATAAATACTCAAAGAGTAAAAGGAGTTTTAATATTCAAAAGATGATCTTACAATGGCCATAGGGCCTAAGTTATTTAGGCAAAGGGGAAGGGGAAAATACATAATACATTGAATGTGAATCATGAGGAAGCTTCCTAGCAACATCCACCTCCAAAGCATGGGATAACCTTTCTTCAATCCTGTCTCCTTGGTGGACTAAAATCAGGGATGGGGCTGGGGTTTGTGGGGGTTTTGAGCTTTGGTTTGTAGTGGTTGTTTCCTGGGTTTTAAGGCTATTATTTGGGTAAAAATGAAGGGTTGTGTTAGGCCAATAAAATGGGACAAGGCTGGGTAATATTAGTGGTGGTTTTGGACATATGGGTTTGGGTTATTGTGAGGAAACATGGGCAGGAATGAGTGGCTAGTGGTGGGGCAGGTTTTTTTTGGCTCTTTGTGGGTGTTTATGTTGGGATTGTGAGTTTTAATTGGCCAGGAAATAAAAGGAAGGAAGGGAAGGTTTTACTTGTTCATTAAAAGGCTTAAAAGAAGGAAAATAACAACAAACAAAAAGGGTTTTAGTTTACACACCCTTATTTTCGGCCATGGGCTAAAATAAATGTAGGAAAACTTTATTTTGAAAGGAATTAAATGGAAAGGAATTTTGGATGTTTAGGGTGGGTTAGGACAATGTTTGGGGCGGCCAAGGGGGTTGGAAAACAAGGGTGTCGGGTGGTGTTCTTGAATGGAAGAAAGGACTGAACTCAACCCAATAAGGATTATAACACTTAACCACGAATCCCCTGATTTGTTTGAACACTTGTGGCTTGTCCAAGAGTTTGGTTAGGGCGTGCCCGGGTATAATAGATAAATTCCAAATAAGGAATAAGAGATAAACACACTCTTATCTTAATTTGGAGCCAAATTAATACTAAAGGATAAGCTCACCTCTAGATTAACTTGGGGTTAAACTCTAGTATTTAATCAAGATATTACACACTCAATCAAATAACTAAAACCTAAAACTCGCACTTAAGATAACCACTCTTAAGATATAGAATTAGGAATTTGGCTAAAATAGCATCACACTATTTTAAGAATACTCAAAGAGTAAAAGGTTTTTAATATGATTCCATTATCCCTGCACATTTCCCTAAGGCTACATTATATAGGGAGAGGGGAAGGGGAAAATAATACACGATACAATGAATGAGAACATAAGGAAGCTTCCTAGCAACATCTTCTCTCAAAGCCTTGAAATATAGCCATGTGTTTGGATCCTTTTATTGGAATAAAATCAGGGATGGGTGTGGTTGTAGGGTTTCTAATGAAAGGCAAACCAAGGGGAATGAATGGCATTCTTTTGGGCTGATTTGGGGGATGTATTCAGCCAACCAGGGGGGACAAAGGGAAAGAGTGATGTGTGGTATTTTGGCTGCATATATGAGGATTTATTTTGTGGTTAAAGGGTTAAGAAAGTACCATGTGTCTCTTGGCCTTTTATGGTTGTTTAGTGGGCTGGACTAGGGAACATAGTAGGGACCATGTTGGGTGAATGTTGGGAAAATGAATGGGGCTGTTTTGGTTTCTTATTTTTGATCAGGGGTTAAAATAGCTGGAAGAGAGTTGGCCAGCGGAACCTTTAGGTCAATAGCGAGAGTTATTTTGGCCTTTTGGGTTAAAAGACCTTTGAATTCTTACTAAAATGGATCATAATGTTTGAACGTAAGTCCTTTGGCTCCCATGATTGTGTGAGGCGTGGGGAAGGACCTGAAAGGGTTGGGCTCAGATACATCATCCTCCCGGTCTTCAAAAGAGTTTGCCCTCAAACTCAATAGATATCAAGACCGTCATATGGACTGAGGTCTCTCTTATTGAACGTGGCAGAAACTCCACCTCTTCTACAGAGAGCAACTGTGTAAGCATTGTTTTTTACCTTGGCTACCACTTCAAATAGACCATCTTCTTGGGGTTGAAGCTTTGCCTTGCGTTTGTCAGAGATAAGACTCGGAAGTTTCTTCATTGCATGGAACCTGCAAAAACTTAAAAAACTCGGCACAAGGTACCGTGAGCGAAGATATAGTCTTTGAGGTGAGGCTTTCACATCTTGGCTCATAGCTCCATGTTGAATCTTCTTCTCATCAACTTGCACATTTAAGCTAGTTAAGCCATAGCCTAAGAACTCATCTCTGGTGGCAGCAACATCCTTCTTCTCTAATTCACCATTGGTCTTGTTCTCACCTAAACTTAGATGAGTCCGTTGTTCTCTCCATTGGTGAGGCGTGGAAAAGGGTAGGGATAAACATGTGGGTTCCCTTTTTCTCAATGGGTACACATCAACATATCCAACAAAATCAGGTGGCCACGGCTTGTCAACATAAAACAAAGAAAAACTACGCAATTCCACTCGTAATTCTCTTCCATTGTTTAGCCATTCAATAGAGCATGATTTCAAGAGAGGTGTTAATCCAAACTCATTTTCATCAGCCAAACTACTCAATGGTTTATCAATGACCACGAGTTCATCTTCTTCTTGGCCTAGAGACTTAACATCTTGTGCTTGTTCTTACCCCAAAGTTTCTGGTTGCTTTTCTAATATACCCCCGGTCACTAACAACGCTCCTCAAGCCATTAAGCAAATCAGTGGAATAATATCTAAATATTTTGATTCTCTTTGGAATGAATTTTTCACCCCAAAAGTAAGCAACCCAACCTTAGTCCTCTTGGACCTCCCCCCCCCNAAAAGGCCCAAACACACTCCTTAAATCCATGCATAAAAGACCCAAAAACAACCCACCCTTTTCCCCTTTGATTTTGCCGAACACAAGACATCAAACCCACCCCAAATTATTCCCCAACATGTACCAATAGTGGCCCCCATGTGTGACCTAACCAAACCACACAAACATCTCCCTTGATAAGGCCTACAATTACACCACAACTACTATATTCTCTTCACCATTTGAGGCCAAATAAACAACCAATTATCCATCCCCCCTTAACCCCACTCATGGCCGAACACTCCCCACCAAAACACCCAAATACCACCCGCCACTTCAAGCCAAATAAACCCTCCATCACACACCTCTTTTATTCTCCCAAAAACTGACCTAAGACATTCCCCTCAACCTCCACTTATTAACCACAACTAAGGGACAAAGAGCATCATCCATTATTCCTTTTTCCTCCCCCTAAATGGCCAAACACAATGGCCTATTTCCAGCCAAGGAACCTCCCCCCTTTTCCCTCATTATTGGTCAAAACAGCAAGCCCCCACAACCCTTCAAAGTCCCTAAATTCATTCCTTAAAATAAGTGGATATTATTCCTTTGATTTGAGTGAAAGTAGAAAGGAAGCTTCCTTATGTTTTTCCCCTTTTCTTTGTATAAATACGGCCCTAGGCCATGGGACTTGAATCATCTTTTGTAATCCATTACTATTAAAGAAATACACTTGCGTGTGTTGTTTTTAAATTCCTAAATCTATATCTTAAGAGTGGTTCTCTTGAGTGTGAGTTTTAGGTTCTAGTTATTTAAGTAAGTGTGTAATATCTTATTTGAATACTAGACTCAACCCCAAGTTAAGATAGGAGTGTGTAATATCTCCCAACACCAACTTGGTTTATCCCCCCTTTAAAGAAAAACCCAAAAGAATTCTATCTCTCCTCTCCTCTCCCATTTGGCCTCCACTCCTCCCACCACCCATATATTCCCTTTTCTCTCCTCTCCTTAACAAAACACAAGCCTTCCCAATACCTTTTCTTTACTGCCCACACGTCCCTCTCTCCAAAACAGCCCCTTCCCTCTTCAAATCTCATACAAGCTCCACTAAAAACTCTCCACCTTTCCTTACCCTCATTCGACCCTATTTCTTTCCCTTTCATCTCAAGTTGGAGCCTAACATTCGGTATCAGAGCTAAGTGTTGAACATCCCCAAGAGCCATTCATCATCCCTCCCAAGAAGTAAGCATTTTGAGCTAAAAACTCCCTTCCTCTCTCCCTAAACCCTACGGCCAAGCTAAACTACCCTCCTCACATTTTTCCCACTTCAACCATGTCAAATGAATCCCAACCCATGTCCCATGAAGAGCTTGTTGCCTCCAATGCAGCCTTGAAGGCCCAAGTTGAATACTTGGCCAAAGAAGTGGCTAAACTTACCAAGATAAAACTGAATGCACTACAAGCAAGTGATCACGAGGATGACGCTACCACTAGTGGCATAAACAAAACTAGGGCTCCCGTCCATGAAGGTTCTGATTTCAAGGTGGACATTCTGACCTTTGAAGGAAAGAATGGCCCGGATGAGTTCCTAGAATGGCTAGAGACGGTGGAACGTGTCTTCTATTTCAAAGAAGTTTCCGACGAGATGAAGGTCAAGATAGTGGCCTTGAAGTTCCGCAAGTATGCATGCACTTGGTGGAACAATACTTGCACCAAAAGAAGAAGAAACGGTAAGGAACTAGTGTCTACTTGGACTAAGATGAGGTCCCTCTTGAAGAAGTAGTTTTTACCCGCTAAGTACATCCGTAAGAATTTTTCTAAGCTCCAAACGCTTAGGCAAGGTTCAAAGTCCGTGGAAAATTACAACCGAGAGTTCGAGGAACTCTTGTTGAGGTGTGATTTACAAGAAGACGATGAGCAAACCTTTGTGCGCTACCTTTTTGGCTTGAACCTACAAATAGCCAATACGGTGGAGTTACAAAACTACGAGACCTTCGAGGAGCTCACCAAGTTAGCCCTCAAAGTCGAAGCTCAAATCAAGAAGTCAAAGGCCCTTTTCTCTAAAACACCTTCCCCCTACACACGGCCCAACTCATCCCTCCAAAAACCCACCTACTCACCCTCCAAAACACCCTTCAACTCCAATAAAACCACACCCATTGCCTACGGTTCAACCCCCCTCCTCAACCGTACCACCCCAAAGAAACCCATCCTCATCTCTCCCTCCTAGGGCTGATCCCACCAAGAAAGCTCCTATCTGCTTTCGTTGCCAAGGACGAGGTCATTATGCTAACGAATGCCCTAACAAGAAAGTAATGGCAATCGTTGAGTGTGATGAAGAAGACCTTGACCTGACTTGGGTCATGGAAGAAGTTGAAGAAGCTGAAGAACAAGATGAGTATGTTGGCCCCGATGATGGCAAACTCTTGGTCATCCAAAGGACTTTGAGCACTCTAGCATGCCCCGAGGATCAACTACAACGGGAAAACATATTCCACACCCGTTGTATTGTCCAAAAGAAGGTGTGTTCCCTCATCATTGATAGTGGAAGTTGCACCAATGTAGCTTCCAAAACCATGGTAGACAAGCTACGTTTGAAGACGTCACCACACCCGAAACCATATACGATTCAATGGTTGGATCATGGCGAGGGTTTATGTGTTGACACACAAAGCCTCATTCCCTTAAGCATTGGCAGCTCGTACAAAGACGAAGTATGGTGTGATATCATCCCGATGGACGCTTGCCATATCCTCTTGGGACGACCATGGCTGTTTGATCACCGTGTGCAACATGATGGTTATGCCAAAACTTATTCATTTTGGATGAATAAGAAGAAGATCGCCCTTACCCCCTCCTGCAGCCACGGCCAAACCAACCCAAGAACAGCCCCCCGTTCTTATCTCCACTATCTTACAATCCAAGCAACACGAATTCCATGGGATTAAAGACTTGATCCTTTTGGAAGATGGAGAAGCCGAACCCCATACTCCCCCAAACCAGCCCCATCCTCTAGCTCAACCAATCCTTGAAGAATACTCCCATGTGTTTTCCGAAGATGTAACACACGGCCTCCCTCCTAAACGGGACATACAACACAAGATTGACCTTATTCCGGGGGCTACCCTACCCAACAAACCAGCATATAAGATGAATCATGAGGAGACAAACGAGATTCAACGTCAAGTTGATGAGTTGCTAGCTAAGGGCTTCGTGAAAGAAAGCCTTAGCCCATGCGCTGTCCTGGCACTCTTGGTGCCTAAGAAGAATGGAACATGGCATATGTGTTGTGATAGTCGATCTATCAACTAGATCACTATCAAATACCGGTACCCAATCCCACATTTGGAGGACATGTTGGACGAGCTGCATGGCTCAAAGATCTTTTCAAAAGTTGATCTAAGGAGTGGTTACCATCAAATTCGCATCTTCGAAGGAGATGAATGGAAAACAGCGTTCAAGACGAAGTTTGGGCTGTACGAATGGTTGGTCATGCCATTCGGGTTAACCAATGCCCCATGTACATTCATGAGACTTATGAATCAAGTCTTGAAGCCATTCATAGGTCATTTTGTCGTCGTATACTTCGATGATATTCTGATTTATAGGAAGAGTGAGGAAGAGCATGTTAATCACCTCAGTTTGGTGATTAAGAAGTTGGACGAAGAGAAGCTGTACGGGAACATCGAGAAGAGCCAATTCTTCTCTCAAGAAACGGAGTTCTTGGGATACTTCATCTCTAGTGAAGGCATAAAAGTTGATGAAAAGAAGACACAAGCCATCAAGGAGTGGCCGATCCCCACCTCTATGCAACAAGTTCGGAGTTTTCACGGACTTGCCTCTTTCTACCGGAGATTCATGAAAGATTTCAGCACCATCACGGCACCCATCACCGATTTGACCAAAAATCAGAAGTTCGAGTGGAACTCCAAAGCCCAACAAGCCTTCGAAACCATTAAGGAACGATTAACGCATGCCCCCGTGTTAGCCCTTCCTAGTTTCGATAAACTATTTGAGGTTGAGTGTGACGCCTCGGGAGTTGGCATAGGGGCTGTCCTAAGCCAAGAAGGACACCCGGTGTCTTATTTTAGCGAAAAGCTAAATGAAACCCGGAGGCGGTACTCTACCTACGACAAGGAGTTCTACGCGTTGGTGCGATCACTTGAGCATTGGCGTCATTACCTCATTAGCAAGGAGTTCATCCTACATTCTGATCATGAGGCCCTTAAGTTTATCCAAGGGCAACATAAACTCCGACCCCGCCATGCTAATTGGGTTGAATATATCCAAACCTTCACCTTCACCTTCACCATCAAGCACAAAAACAGAACCATGAACAACGGCACCGACGCCCTATCCGGGAGACATTTATTGCTAACAGTACTTAGTACAAAACTTGTTGGTTTTGAGTTTTTGCAGGAGCTGTACAAGGAGAATGAAGACTTCAAAGACACTTATTCCAAGTGTCTCATTCGGCCCTATGGAGACTTTCTCATCAAGGACGGATATCTCTTCCATGGCAACCGGCTTCGCATTCCGAAATGTAGCATTCGTGAGACCCTTATCGACGAGATCCATAGAGGAGGCCTAGCTGGTCATTATGGGGTCGATAAGAATCACATGATGATGAGAGAACACTACTTCTGGCCAAAGATGGAGCGAGACATAGAGCATTTTATCAAGCGTTGCAACACATGCCACCTAGCAAAGAGTCACTCACTGCCCCAAGGAAAGCACATGCCGCTACCCATTCCTTACGCACCATGGGAAGATATTAGCTTGGATTTCATCACCAGGCTACCAAGGACACAACGAGGCAAAGATCCGATCATGGTCTTCGTGGACCAAAGTTTCGATTATGGTCTTCGTGGACCGATTCTCAAAAATGGCCCATTTCGTGCCATGTGTTACCACTTATGATGCTTCACAAGTTGCGGATATCTACTTCTGAGAGATAGTCAAACTCCATGGCGTTCCTCGAAGCATGGTATCGGATAGAGACACCAAATTCCTTAGTCATTTTTGGATGACCCTGTGGAGAAAGTTAGATGACCCTAAATATGGACCCACACTAGGTCGCCGGGTTGAAAGTGGGTGGGACTTTTCAACTCACTTCTCTTCTCAAGCCTTTCACGAGTCTTATAATAAAAACTTAGATGTTTCTTGTATTCCTTCCTTACTTGGGACCTGCAAAAACTTAACAGACTCGGTACGAGGTACCGTTAGTGAAGATAACCCTCGGGGCAAGGCTCCTGCGTTTCGGCTCATGACTCCACTTTGGGTCCTCTCATAACACTTTTGGGGAGTTAAATGAGTAAGAGAGTGGGCCAGACTACTCAATGGCCTATCACTGACCACGAGTTCATCTACATATTGGCCTTTAGATTTCACATCTTCTTGTGCTTCCTTAAGTTCCAAAGATTCTGATTTTTCTTCTTCTTCAAGCAAGGACTTCAGATCCTTATTTGGACATTGAATAGCATAATGACCAATATTTTGACGATGGAAGCAATGGGAATTTTTGGGAATAGATGGGCAGGTTTTTGGTGGAGGTATGACCATGGCTTTTGGTGGAGGGCCTATGGTTTTGTGGGGGGTTTTGAGCTGTGGAAGTGGATGTGAATCTGGGGGTGTTTTGGGCAGTTTGTGGAGGGGTTATAGATATGAGTTTAGGAAAGTTTTGAGGCAGGGGTATTGACAGGGTTTTGGGGTTAATTTGGATAGTATCCAAGGAGGAAAAAGAGATGGTTTGTGAGGACTTTTGGGGCAGGGGTGTTGAAAGGGTTTTGGGTTAGTTTGGGCAGTAGGTAGGGAAGGTAAAGGGATGGGTTTGGACGGTGTTTGAAGTGTATGTTCAGGGGTAGGAATGGGGATGGATGTGGCAGCTTCTACGGGGCTTAATGATGGGGTTTTGGGAACTTTGTTGTGGAGAAAGTGACATGGTTTTAGAAAGAGTTTTTGGTGAAAAAGGGAGAGTATTTTCAAGTACCTGATGGATATGATCTTTGGAAGAAAATCTCTTAATTAAGAGTTTTCTGAACTTTTCCCAAGTTCTCACCTTCGCTTTTCCTTGGAGCTTTCGTTTTGAGGCAACGCTAGCCCACCAAGTAGAGGCATGTCTTTGAAACTTTGCCAGAACTAGCTTGACCTTCTTGTCTTCGGGTACGTCTTTGAGTATAATAACGTCTTCAACTTTTGCTAACCACTTTAAGAACTTTTCCGGGTCAGTTCTTCCTTCAAACATAGGGACTTTTACTGAGCCAGTGAGCTCCTTGACTTGTTTCATCACAAGCTCAACTTCCTTCTTTAACTTTTCTTGGGCAGCAGCTACATCATATTGAGACATGTCTTGGATGGTGTGGGTAATGTTTCAAAAGGGAAGATGTAGGGGAAGGTATTTTGGTCCCTTGAGGGATGTTGCACAACATGCTCTGATACCAAATGTTATATCTAAGCTCTGGGTTTGACGGTATTAAGCTCGGATTTAAGGAACAAGCTCCTTGTTTTGAAGAAAGGGTGGATAATCGATTGTTCAAGTAGGGAGAATCGATTGCCAAGTGATTCAGTTTCTCAGGAGGAGCTTTGGAAGTTCAGGAGAGGTAAACAATCGATTTACAAGAAGTGACAATCGACTATGGAAGGCTGCAGATTTTCTAGGAATGAGCGATAGTCGATTATCTTAAAGGGGTAATCGATTATTACTACCTGCGGATGTTTCCAATGGAACTGATAATCGATTCTGGGGAATGATAATCGATTAATTGGCAGTGATTCTGGACAGGAAGAAGGGCGTTTTTGTGGGGAATGGGTTGGAAATATATGGGGATGATGAAGGAGTTCTTTTGGGTATTTTTAATGGAAGAAAAGAGTAAGATTAAGAGGAGAAATGGGGGGATATTAAATGGAAGAAAAATCAGGGATGGATAAACCAAGTTGGTGTTTAAGAGGTATTACACACTCTTATCCTAACTTGGGGTTTTGAATCTAGAATTTAATTAAGATATGACACACTTAATCAAATATCTAGAACCTAAACTCACACTTAAGATAACCACTCTTAAGATATAGAATTAGGAATTTGGCTAAAATAGCATCACACTTTTTTAATAATTCTCAAAGAGTAAAAATATTTTAATATTCAAAATATTGGTTTTACAATGGCCATATGGCCTGATTATATAGGCAGGGGGAAGGGGATAACACACACTATACATTGAATGTGAACATGAGGAAGCTTCCTAGCAACATCCTCTCTCAAATCCTTGAAATATCAGCCATGTTTTGAGGTCCTTTTATTGGAATAAAATCAGGGATGGGTGTGGTTGTAGGGCCTCCAATGAAAAGCAAACCAGGGGGAATGAATGGCCTTCTTTTGGGCTGATTTTGGGGGATGTATTCAGCCAACTAGGGGGACAATGGGAAAGGATAATGTGTGTTACTTTGGCTGCATATATGAGGATTTATTTGGTGGTTAAAGGGTTAAGAAAGTACCATGTTTCTCCTGGACTTTTATGGTTGTTTAGTGGGTTGTACTAGGGAACACAGTAAGGACCATGTTGGGTGGATGTTGGAAGATGAATGGGGCTGTTTTGGTTTCCTATTGTGACCAGGGATTAAAATAGATAAAAGAGACTTTATTTTGGATATCAAAAGGAAATAAAATACTTTTGGATGTTTGGGGTTGGGTTGGACGGAAAAGGGGGTTGACCAGCGGAACCCTTAGGTCAAAAACGAAAGTTATTTTGGCCTTTCTGGCTAAAGGACATTGAATTCTCACTAAAATGGATCATAATGTTTGAACCTAAGTCCTTTGGTTTCCATGAGGGTGTGGGATATGGGGGAGGGTATGATAGGCTCGGGCCCAGATATATCACCCAAACCGATGGACAAACTGAGGTCACCAATCGCACCCTTGGAACTCTCCTCCGAGCCCTCATAAAGAAAAATATCAAGCAATGGGAGGAGCTACTACCACACACTGAGTTTGCTTACAACCGAACCCCGAACAAGACCACAGGACTATCCCCCTTCACCATTGTCTATGGTTCGAACCCCTTGACCCCACTAGAGCTTGATCCTATCATAACGGACACCAAGTATAGTTGGGAAGCAGACAAGAGATCTAATGAGATTCAAGACCTACACTACAAGGTTCGAAATAGGATTGAGGCAATGAATGAGAGGCTAAGTGCACGCATCAACAAAGGAAGAAAGGATACCCATTTTCAACCAGGCAATCTTGTGTGGATACATCTCAGGAAAGAGCGTTTCCCCACGAAACGCAAGTCAAAGTTACTACGACGAGCTGATGGACCGTTCGAGATCCTAGAGAAGGTCAACGAGAATGCCTATAAAATCAACCTTCCGGGAGAATATCGAGTTTCGGCTACTTTCAACATCAAGGACATTAGTCCATACTTCGAACCCGAAGAACTCCCGAGTTTGAAGACAAACTCTTCTGAAGAAGGGGAGGATGATATATCCCTAGTCACTAACAATGCTCCTCAAGCAAATCAGTGGAATAATATCTAAATACTTTGATCCTCTTTGGAATGAATTTTTCACCTCAAAAGTAAGCAACCCAACCTTAGTCCTCTTGGACCACCCCCCCCCCCCCTTTGAGAACCGAACCACAAAAGGCCCAAACACACTCCCCAAAAATCCAAAAACCAACATACTTTCTTCACCATTTCAAGCACAAATCCAACCTATTCTTCACCATATATTCCCCTCTATAATCTGCCCTTATTTATCCATAGTTTTCCTAAGCTTGGGTACATCATTTTGGTATCAAAACTTGTTGTCACGCATCTCTCAAGGACCAAAACACACTTCCCTCACTCTTCTCCTCTCACTTTCGGCCCTCAACCCCCTCCACACCCTACTCCTTTTCGTGCCTCTTTCAAATATGTCAAACCGATCCCGAAGCATGTCTCATGAAGAACTTGTGGCCTCCAATGCCGCCTTGCAAACTCAAGTGGAATACTTGGCCAAAGAAGTGGCTAGGCTTACCAAGCAAAAGATGTCCATGTATCAAAATAGTGAAGATGAAGAGGAAGCTAGCTCTAGTGCTACCATGCGAGCTAAGGCTCAAGATAAGTCCCATTCTGACTTCAAAGTTGATATTCCAATCATTGAAGGGAAGAATGAACCGGATGAGTTTCTTGAGTGGTTAGAGACGGTGGAGCGAGTCTTTGATTTCAAAGAAGTCTCCGACGACAAGAAGGTCAAGATTGTGGCCTTAAAATTCCGCAAGTACGCCTCCACCTGGTGGACGAACACCTGCACCAAACGGACTCGAAGTGAGAAGCTGTTGTACCCGAGACCCGGGGTCTTATCGAGTAGCTAATTTGTGGCGTATTTGCGGAGGGAAATGGAATTGAAGGGGTGTAATATGGAGTGTGGGAAAGAGTTCTTTTTGATGTTTTTAATGAGAGAAAAGAATAAGTTTAGGAAAAAGAAATGGTGAGGAATGAAATGGGCAGAAAAGTGAAGGGATAAACCAAGTTGGTGTTAAGAGATATGACACACTCTTATCTTAACTTGGGGCTTTTATCTTCTTTTACACATTAATAATCACTACTAATGTATAAAATTAGACTCCTAACACGCACTCAAAAGTAGCCAACTTTAGAGATATTTCATTAGGAAATTTTGCTAAAATAGCATCACACTATTTTAATGAAATTACTCAAAGAGTAACACAAACTTTTCATTCAATAATCTGGTGTGTTACAATGGCCTCATGGCTGAAGTATTTATACAACAACAAATAAGGAAAAATACAATAAAGGAAACTTCCTACTTCTTTCCTAAAAATCAAAGATTAATGTCCTTCCATGTGAGCTGATTTTCCAAGATGCTTCTCCTGATTTTGGGCTGATTTTCCTTGGGTTTATTTAGGGAGAATTTCGTGCATATAAGGGAGAAAACAAAGGGGAATCAAGCTTTAGACTTTTGTGAATAAAATGCCAAAACAGCACTATTCATTCAATGACTTTGTTTCTGATTTTGTTCCTTTGTTTCAAAAGTGATTATGCTTTTGCTTTGTGAAACAAAAGACTTTATTCTTTGTTAAAAATCAGGGGATAATTTCAGCTTTATATCCAATCTTAGGATGAGCAAACAGGAGCTGATTCACTCAGGGTTCAGAGACGTAGGAATAATCGATTAGCACATTTAGTAAATCGATTAATTGAGTTTAGCTCAAACTGGGAATGTTCTGAGGAACCCGATAATCGATTGACACTACAAGACAATCGATTTACAAGGACTTATTCGGAACTGGATATTTTCTGAGGGTGACGATAATCGATTATCAAGTTATTGACAATCGATTATGAGAAGTTATGGACTTTGAAGAAGAATCTGCAGACTTCAATAGTCGATTATCAATTAAGGGTAATTGATTATTTAGGGGTTCAGAATAAGGATTAGAAGAAAAGAAGAAAAGGCATTATTTGGGTAAAAGGTTTTTGAAAAGACAAAAACAAGAAACAAAGGTTTTGACTTTTATTTTCGATGAGGGGTTAAAATGGATGGAAAACACTTTATTTTGGATAAAAGAAAAGAAAGAAAACTTTTGGATATGTTGGGAGAGTTTGGATTTTGGTGGGGTCATCCAGGGGTACATCAATATTACACACCCTTAGCTTACTTGGGGTTGAGTCTAGTATTCAAATAAGATATTACACACTCATTCACTTAATAACTAGAACCTAAAACTTACACTTAAGAGAAGTACTCTTAAGATATAGAAATAGGAATTTTAAGAGAACACACACAAGTGTATTACTTAATAAAATGGAGAATACAATGCTTCAAATGACAAGGCCTAGGTCCGTATATAAACACACCAAGGGGAGAGGGAAGCTTCCTAGTTACATTCACTTATTTAGGGGAATAATGTCCACTTATTTAATGGAATGAAAACAAGGGAGAGGGTGAGGTTGTGGGGAAAGGTGTTTTGGCCTACTAGGGAGGAAAAAGGATGGTGGGTTTTGGGTGGTATTTTCGGCCATCAAGGTGGGGGAAGGTCCAAAAGGACTAGGATTGGGTTGTATGGTTTAGGGGTGATATATTCATTCCAAAAAGGATTAAAACATTTGGACATTATTCCACAGATTTGTTTAAGGACTTGGGGGTGGTTGTTATTAACCGGGGGTATATCACCCCTTTTCCCTCATTATTGGCCGAAACAGCAAGCCCCCCAAACCCTTCAAAGTCCCTAAATTCATTCCTTTAAATAAGTGGATATTATTCCTTTGATTTGAGTGAAAGTAGCAAGGAAGCTTCCTTATGTTTTTCCCCTTTTCTTTGTATAAATACGGCCCTAGGCCATGGGACTTGAATCATCTTTTGTAATCCATTACTATTAAAGAAATACACTTGTGTGTGTTCTTTTTAAATTCCTAAACCTATATCTTAAGAGTGGTTCTCTTGAGTGTGAGTTTTAGGTTCTAGTTATTTAAGTAAGTGTGTAATATCTTATTTGAATACTAGACTCAACCCCAAGTTAAGATAGGAGTGTGTAATATCTCCCAACACCAACTTGGTTTATCCCCCCTTTAAAGAAAAACCCAAAAGAATTCTATCTCTCCTCTCCTCTCCCATTCGGCCTCCACTCCTCCCACCACCCATATATTCCCTTTTCTCTCCTCTCCTTAAGAAAATACAAGCCTTCCCAATACCCTTTCTTTACTGCCCACACGTCCCTCTCTCCAAAACAGCCCCTTCCCTCTTCAAATCTCATACAAGCTCCAGTAAAAACTTTCCACCTTTCCTTACTCTCATTCGACCATATTTCTTTCCCTTTCATCTCAAGTTGGAGCCTAACATTTTCACATTCAACCAAGGCCATCATTCTCTTGTTTGGGCATGTAAAAGCATAATGACCAGACCTTTGACAATGATAGCAGCTAAGAACATTAGGCTTGGCGGTCGGCTTCTTTTGGAGATTGTAGAATGAGGTAGCGGGTACAGTTTTGCTAGGTACGGATTGCAGAAAGAGCAGTGGGTTTGGGTTCATGTTGGACCATGGTTTTTGAGTGGGAGGGTACTGAGTTTGTTGGTTTTTGGGTCAGGGATGTTGAGGTTGGTTTATGGTCTTTCTGGACAGTTTGGTTGTGAGGTGAAGAGGGAAATTTTGAAGGGGTTTGAGGTTGGGAGATGGTGGTGGTTTCAGGTCTGTTTTGGGCTGCTTGTGTGGAGGTTATATAAGTTGTTTTAGGGGAGTTTTGGAACAGGGGTATTGAAAGGGTTTTGGGGTTTGTTTGGGCCGTACCTAGGGAAGAAAAAGAGATGGTTTTTGAGGAATTTTGGGGCAGGGGTGTTGACAAGGTGTTGGGATCAATTTGAGCAGCAGCTAGGGAAGGTAAAGGGATGGATTGAGTTGGGTTTTGGGTAGTGGAAATGGATGTGAGTTAGGTGATGTTTAAGGCCATAGAATAAGGATGTGTTTTAAAGGTGAAGGTGTAAGATGTTTGGGGTATTTTGTGGGTATAATCTTTGGGAAAAACTTCTTTATTAAGAGTTTTTGCATCTTTTCCCAAGTTCTCACCTTAGCTTTTCCTTGAAGCTTCCATTTAGGAGTAATGCTAGCCCACCAAGTGGAGGCATGTCTTTGAAACTTTGCCACCACTAACTTGACCTTCTTGTCTTCGGGTACGTCTTTGAGTGTAAAGACTTTTTCAACCTTCTCTAACAATTTTAAGAACTTTTCCGGATCAGTTCTTCCTTCAAACACAGGGATCTCCACAGAGTTAGTGAGCTCTTTGATTTCTTTCATCATAAGCTCAACTTCCTTCTTTAGCTTCTTTTGGGCAGTAGCTAAATCAACTTGAGACATGCTTTGTGAATAGCTTGGCATGGTTTTAAGAGAACAAGGGTTAGGGAAAAGGTTGGTTTGGCCGAGATGAAAGTAAGGGCTATTTGGTTTTTGACTTTGGGGCAGTGCTGTGAGGTGTGATGAAGGGTTGTTTTGGGGATAGTTTTTGGTGTGGTTTGAAGGGAGAGTAGTGAGGGTAGGTTTTGGAGGAGGGTTGGCCAAAATGACCAAGGTGTTGTGGTGGTTTCTCTTGGCCGAAATGACCAAAAGGATGGTAAGGAAAGCCGGTTTAACCAAAATCACAACAAGGCTGTTTGTTTTTTGTTACCTTGTGATATATCCCAGAGCACCACAAATCACCCTCAAGTCCTTAAGGAAATCAGTGGAATAATGTCCAAGTGTTATGACCCCCTCTGGAATGAAATCATCATCAAACCATGCACCCTAACCATACTTACCCTCAACCCATCACCACATTAATAACCAATCCCAGCACTTCACAATCCATTCCCAGGAATCCAAAGAAAACCAAGCAACAATTTCCCTTTCTTCTTATTTTACAATGCCGAAAATAAGTGTCCAAAAACACACCCAGCATGGTCCCCATTATGTTCCCCAATACACTCAAATTATAAACCAAAATGCCCAGGGATATTT